ACATATTATTTCTAAAAAACATCATGAATCTGGGATACTCAGCTGTGTGTGCCCTGGTATCCCTTGAAAAGGAAAACAACTTTTGCGACACTGTGAATCTCGGAAACCACTAAAGCAGCAGATAAATTTGGTCTACAATCTCAAATACGAATTGTGCCTACGAAATGTCAGAGAGCAAAGCAAATTTATGTTACATCTGTGCATTGATGGAAAATAGGCAAAAGAGAAAAACGGAAACCACGAAGATACAGGTGTAAAGTACGAGATTTTTCCTTAATCATGCTAAATAAGTTTTAAATGATATCCAACATGTGGAAACTAGATGAGAAGCAACGAAATTGAAGCACTTCTAAGCGACCGAATACAGACACCAGCCTATTAGATCATTAGGTTCGAAGAGTGTAATCTAGTCGTTTTAGTAAAACTCCGGTATCTGATTTGGAGGATCAACGTTAATTCGAAAGTAACAATGCACCGCTTAAAAACAAGGTCTAAATCCCTGCTATTCATAAGACACAAGATAAAGGTTATCTTAAATTGTCTGACAACTAAATAATAGCAAGAATAAAACTAATTGAGTCACAGGCAAAAACAATTATAATCAATGGCTGATTTGTACAACGGTCCCAGCGTACAGTAACAGATTTAAGGTGGTGTTCGCATACTTTTGCAAGAATTCTAGAGCCATCTGTTTTAACCTGCAACCGCATTGTGGGGGTGAATCGAGGAAGCGATACGACAGTGAGCGAATTTACGTGAAAAAGGTTTCGTCTCTCAAAAAACCTTAACCGGGCCAAATTCATGGAATTTGACATCATGCTCATCTAAGGAAAGTGTTTTTTCAATCCTTTCCTTCGTTTGTAATATCTTGTGCAACTACGTCATGCTAAGTGAGGCACTCTATTTAGCCGATATCTCCGTCTGTTTCGCTGTTATTTCACACTTGAAGTTCGTTCAAACACGCTCTAGAACCCAGGCACGGCTACAAAATATTAGACTTCTCTTAGCAAGGTGCTGAGTTAATGCCATTAAATTCGCACGCGTAAAGTGATGAGACAGTGCACTTCCAGTTGAATTGAATCTGTTTAGAAGAGTTGTACTAAGACATTAAATACTTTTAGCACTAAATCGACGCTGCATGGACCATCTTTATCTGGAACGACACTGGCAAGAGTATGTGCTGGCACTGAAAATAATATCTCCTTGAGATGAATCAGCTCGTGGTCAGATGATAATCATCATTCTCTCTTCAGAGCGACTAAGAATAAGCTCGGAATGCGTGCTTTGCAAGATTTTACTAATTGCACTCAATTTTATCAGTGGATGCGGTCATTTGAAATCCATTATAAAATCCAATCTATTCGTTGCACGGAATTAAAACTTTGCTCAGGATGCTTGTGACACTTATTCTATGGGTAACCATGGATATACAAGATGAAATGTAATTAACTTTGCAAATGAAAAGCAGGATATGTGGTTTCTACCGTTACAGTAGTTCCTTACTCAGAAATAAAGCAGAAGTTCTGAATGACAGAGGCAAAACATTTTGCTCGTATTTTCCGTGCAGACAACTATGAAATCGGACCTTTGAGCTTCCACTTCTTCTTAGGAACCTCAAGTTAACTGCTCTTGATTATGAAAGTTTTGGGAATAAAACACAGTTATGTAGAGGAAAAATCTTTGATCGCGAGTGCCGTGCAGAAGCATCATTGGAGAAGAACGTCCGCCTTACGTAAGCTGAATGACGTTTGATTTGAGTGGCCAAATTTTAGCAGAGTTACAGTTGAAAATGATTGATGTTTACTATATGGATAAAAGCAATTAAAACAAAAAGACAAATTGTACTTTTAGAACCTGCTGATAAAATTCTTATCTGATGTACTGTGAGTATATGAAATTAATTCTTTAGTGGCATTTTAAGTTTCATTTCTGCATGCAAAGGTTTCGGGAACTGACCGTCTGTCGGAGATATGTCGTTCTGAGAAACTTATTCCTACATCCATATCGTCATGTGTTAGTCGTTTTGAACATTTTTTTGCTCGCGGTTCTGTTTTACCTTCACTGTTGTACTGAGCATCGACGAAAATGCGATCGATTCGATGCAAGAAGATGGTACCAACATCTTACTGAAGAAAACAAACAGAGTTTTCAGTTCATAGCGGATTACAAGACTACAAATCAGAATTGGGACGATGTTTTGACCAGGTCCCCTGTGCCAACAGTACGATGTTTTCGAAAGCTTCGCTTTCCCACCGTGCGAAGATCGCAGCTCCATGATGAAAAGCATCAGTGGCTGGTGTTAAATACGTCTCACAACGAGATTTTCGTTTTCAGCGCTTACTTCGACGATCGACCGACAGATGAGTTTTCGAACCTTGACTTCGCAGTGCGCATATTGGCGATGGCCCGTTCGAAAATCAGTGGTCAGCTGTACTGTCAGATATTTTCCGGTGCCGGCCATGCGATCGTCGTGGCTCGG